TCCTATCTTATTCATAGCCTTTTCCTTTTTTTGTTTTCTTTAGGTCACGAGCAGTTGTCCAAGCGTTTCACTACATATCGTACTGTGTATGACTGTGTACGTGACAAATAAAATTTGAATTTGAATTTGAACTTATAAACACATGTTCATACTTTTATTCCACAATCAGAGAGAAAGAAACAGAGAGAGAGTGCAGGACAGACAGACAGGTGACAGTCTCAGGTGTACACACTGCTACACAACAGCACCAGAGAAGCAGGATTTAGTGTTTGTGTTATTACGAGTGTAAACAAGAAGAGTCCCAGATGGTGCAGTGGACACATGTGTGACTGCTGTGATTAAAGCATCTTTCTTTCAGCTTAACGAGTGAACCGTCAGCTCGTTCAAACACACGTTAAAGTGCGTTTGGCTCGACACCACCGAACAGAGGCAGCAATATAACACAGCTCACATTAACAGTGCAGTGGATCCTGCTTGTGCCGCGATATTCAGGACTGCAAACCGAGCAGCATCACTGACTTTCAGCCTGTTGTGTTTGTGGATATATGACTGACTTTAATTATCCACAAAATCATCACATTCTCTGTAAGATTAAGGTCGACTATTGTATTATATTTTAAAGGCTTTAAAACCAAGTAAACGCTGAAAGTACAAACATCGCTAATGTCACATAACTTTGCCGACATGTGGCCAACAGGAATGTTTTAATGTTCCTCATTATTAAACATTTGCACATAAATAAGTGACATAATATTCAGTACTTACTTTTAACAGTTTACTCTTCGGCCGCTCCACCTCCACTTCTGCAGCTGCCAGTCAAAGCTGCTATGATAACGTTTCACCCCAATTTAACATCACCGCGGTAGGAATTAGAATCAAACTTATGGGAGAGGAGACTCATTGGACATCAATCAGCGTGATGAGAACTATTGATAACAAAAGAAAGAATCTTTGGAAAAAGTTTTTCTTAGGAGAATTAATTTATTTTAGTCTGACCACAGTCCCATCCGCTAACATAGAGGAGGCGGGGTTTATGACCTATACTGCAGCCAGACACCAGGGGGCGATAGAGACGTTTTGGCTTCATTTTTGGGACGCTGTCACGTCATCCATCTTTATTACAGTCATTGGTGGTGATGAAGGAAAACGCTGGGTTGGCATGTAAAGGGGCATTTATTCCTTTCAAAGACCTGCAGTTCAAAAAAAGCGCCCCTCGACAGCCAAACCCATCTGTTCTCTGATTGGATTGTTACATTTGTGATTGACATGACATTGACCAATCAGATGAAAGGAAGAAAAATAGGGTTAAAATTCGTACTTGTAACTTGCAGGGTTTTTTGGCTAAGTCCACACACAGATTCTTTTTACACATACAAATCCTGATTTACATGTACAAAATATTTATGACCCAAGAGCGTAGATTTGGTTTGGGCATTGGTGGGGACGGATGATTCAACCACCGAACCCTGCCCTGTTTTTGTTTTTTGTTTTTCCTTCTTGATTAACAAAAAAGGAGAAATATACTTGCCTACATATGCTATTCTACGTGCTTTTAAACCATTTAAAATTACAATTCATAGTTTTATATGTGAATTATATAATGTTAAAGTACTATTAAACAAATGACTGAGTATTTCAGGCTTTAGTTTACTTCAGCCATATTCCATATAAATCAGGTATCATACAAAAATAAAAATAGCTTCAAATACAGTCATGACAATAAAAGAATATGACTTTAAGGACTTAACAACATTACTTCAGTTATAGTACACCAACATCTCTGATACATTAGCACTAAGGGAACACTGAGTGACCTGCTGGTTTTTGTCCATAAAACTACTCGTCTAAGATGACCACAAAGTAACAGATCTCTCAGCAAAATGATGCAACGTTTGAGGCACTATTGCCCCGATTAACTCAGTGAGCTGCGATCTTTTATTCTAAACATGAGCTACTGTTACAGCAACAGACATGGACTACATGCCCCACACAACAACTCAATGTCCACTATGTGAAGCAGCCAAACACAGGCCTGCTCCTCTCACTAACTGAGATAAACTGCTGGCATATTGGTTTTACATCTATACTGTCCGGTCTCTCCTGGTGGACATGGCAACACGTTATTCATGGTTACATACAGTTTTAGACTGATGTGGGCCAAAGCCTGGCACATACTTGCCAACCTTGAGAACACAGAATTAGGGAGACATTCAAACACACACACAAAACTTGAATTTTACAATGTTTATTTATCGGATAAAATAAGTTAAATGTCACCGTTATTATTGGCTGGGGCCAGAAACAGGATGGGGGTGTCCAAATTCAGAGGCTGCGTCCACCTGAGAACCAGGTGTTGTGATTGCCTGCCAGAAACTGATTGCTTGTATTTAAACTGCTATAAATAACTTGTTGGTCTATAATATGTGAAACATATGTCAAATGTATCCCTTGTGAATGATATCAAGTCATCTTGAGCAACAAACAACATTCCTGTAACAAGGTAGAACCTTCAGTCAGTTTTTGGCAGTGACTTTTATGTATCCTTTATTTATGCAGTTAAAAAAATTCTTGTTTACCTTAAAAATGTCTCTCTTAAGAGTAATCTGGCCAAGAGGACAGCTGAAATTGCAACAAATGCAAAAATAGTTCTGTAAACATATTTTAAGTGGACAAAAGGAAGCTGGTTGATTATAATGTAGGTACAATAACACGGTTACAAAGATACTTGAGGAACAGGTAATTTTTTTATTTTATATATAACCACTTTGTAATACCTGTTCACAGAAGTCTATTTAACATCATATGATATTACACATAAAAAACACACGGAAACATTGGAGGTCAGTTTTTGGCACAACGCCGGCTCAGATATTTGAAGTTTAGAATCAGAATCAGAACACTTTATTCATCCCGAGGGAAATTAGGGTTACAGCAGGCAGCACGCTAATGGTGCATGCGCACTCACAAAGGAACCTTCTGACCAACTTTACACAAACATCACATTGGGCAGACATGTCAGAAGGTAGGCTGATAGGAAAAACAACGAAAATACACTACATGAGGTAAGAGGAGGAGAAAAAAAACTCCACTCAGACTGAGCTCCTAGTGGGAGAACAGTTTGATAACAGAAAAAACACCTCAGCACAAAAGCACATGACTATCAATACACCATAGAAACACAAGACCAGCAACAGGTAAAGGGTGAGAGAGAGCCGGTGTACACAGCGCATCCGGTCCTGCAGCATCTGCGCTGGTCCAGTTGACTGCTATCATCCCCGGTAGGGCACAAGCATCGAAGGCGTTGGAAAGGGAGGGGGGATGAGTGAGTGCTTATCAGTGTAAGTGTGTGTGTGGGCGTGTCCATAGTTCAGCTGAGACAGTGTCCTTCGCACTATCAGGCTAAGTAAACAGTCTGCCAGCCAACCCAGGTGTCCTTCATGGGACGGGAAGAATAGCCGTAACACAGTCGTTATCAGGGAGTTGTTTTGGTGGGCTCCAGCCTTGGGCCTGCAGCTGGGGCCGTGGTGTCCAAATGTTGAATATTGTTGATTTCTCCTTTGTGAGCAGCTCGAATTCTAGCACTCCGAGGCTGGTCTCTCGATCTCCCGTTGAAGAGTCGCGAGCCTCCCCATGATGGTATCAAACTTCAGTTCCAAGGTGTTGTCAGTCTTTTGATTCTGAGACCTCACTGCAGTGATCCGTTCCGCGATGTTTTCCAACTGTCGCTCAAGGGTCTCATTCTGAGCAGGCCTCTCTCTGATGTTTCCCCTCATACGCTCAATGGTGTTGTTTTGAGCCTTCCCAGCAGCTGTAAGCGTCTCCAAGGTGTTGACCATATTACGTTCGTTGTGAGAGGTCGCACCTCGTCCCGTCGCTTCGAATCCAGCGGGCAGCCTTGTGGGGGTTTGAACAGCCGGTTCCGCTTTCTTATTTCTCTGATAAACCAGGGCTAAGCCAACGCCGATCAGCATGAACCCTGTTATCATGGTTCCGAATAGGTAGATATCTTCAGCGTCCTCGATCGACAGTCCCGCCAGGCACACGGTCCTCCAGTTCTGCCACCCGTCCATCATGTAACCGGCAGGGAAAGTCCCTCCAGGGCACTCAGGCTCTCCCGAGCCCAGACTTCTCGTTGAGAAAAGGGTGTCAATAGCACTCAGAGACCAGTTGATCAAATCCATAATTCTCTTTTAGGTTTAGAGAACGACAGTGAGAGACTGTTCCAGGAAAAGTAAATTCACACAAGACAAGACAAGGACATTCTCGCCTGAAAATATGTTAAAAGTTTATTTTGCGACCCAGAAAGAGAAATAAGAGTAATATTAAAGCTATGTAGCTGCAGTAGTAGTAGCCATTGTTGGAAACTGGAATTGGCTGGGCCAATCTGGAATATGGTTTTTCAATTTTGTTGTCCGGGTGGAAAATCGGGAGAAATTCGGGCTCCGGGAGACCTTCGGGAGGGGCACTGAAATTCGGGATTCTCCCGGAAAAATCGGGAGTGTTGGCATGTATGGCCTATAGCCTGTAACGTTATTGTGACACATTTTATGAGTGAACTTGGCTTTAAGTGACTCACAGGTTTCTTTGAAAAACACTTTCTTATATCCAGCTTCTTCCTCTTTGCTGCCGTCCTCCTCTCCTCCTCGCAGCGCAGATTTGCCGCTGCTGAAACTGAACAGAGCTCCCTGAAAGGCTCAGCCAATCACATTGGCCATATTTGTCACATGACGTAGGACTCCAGTAGAGGTGAGTTAACTCTTTCTGCACCGCTGGGTGAATCAGACGCTGACGGATCGGTTTTTTTTTTTTAAATCGGGTTTGTTTTTCTTTACTCGAAGAGATCAAATTATTGGTGGGGACAATTCAGTAATCGCTGGATATTGGTGGGGACGTGTCCCTTCCGTCCATGACAATCTACGCCCTTGTTATGACCACATTTTGAGCCCATATAATCGGCCTTAAAATGCAGCTTTAAGGCTGCAGACCCTGAATTGGGATACAGCCAAGGTTTCAGGTGAACCCACTGTGAAACCTGGCACCGCCCTATCATGTGATCCCATGAGGTGAGTGGGCGTTAAGGCGTCTGGGAAGGATCTCAAACTGGATTACAGATGGCAGACTTGTGTAGCAGCATGAGACGCTGCAGAGGTGACCCGCGTGTGTGTGATGAGCCATCACAGCCCCTCCACAGCACACACGCACCTGCATCTTGCACAGGAGTGCCATGGTAACACTTCCTGTCAGGATTTAGACCTCAGAACGCCTGATGATTAAGGTCTGTGTCTTTAACACACACACACACACACACACACAGGTGGTTATTTTTGTGACCTGATGCTGTCACATGTGGGGCGGCAGCCTGCGACATGATACTAAACAACAAACTGACGTCATCAGCAGGCGACTCCCACCTGACAGCGCCCAGGAGGCCGACGGGGAGCCTGTGCATGTCTTCGGCCACACATCAGTGCGCGGATCTCCTGACGCCCGTGCACCGCAGCGTCTGCCGCGCGCATCTGTCCGTGCACTCCGACAGCGCGGGCCACGATGGCGGACTGCGTCGGCTTCCAAGCGCAGATCGCCTCCATCATAGAGATGCTGGCCAACTCGGCGGTAGCCGAAATTTGCAAACTGGTGGACGACGGTTACGCGGCGCTGCGCTCTCAGATGGAGCAGGAGCGGGAGAAGAGCGAGAAGGAGAACCGAGCCCTGCGGCAGAGGCTGCGAGACATGGACGTGAAGATGCGGAGCTGTGAGAGGAGGATGAGGAGACGGAGTCAGCGCGAGGAGCATCACACGGCTCATTTTAGGCCGCCCAAAGGTAGGGGAGCGGGACACCCTGCACATCCACCCATCCAGCTGTGAGCTCAGTAATGATTATACTGCTGCATCCAGCCCCGTGTGCTAGTCGGAGAAATTCGTCCTGTCTCCCATGAAGAGCATGGTAAAAGATGGCTCGCATGTTTTGTCCCAGCAAACCTGATTCAGGTGTCCTCAAATGCTGGTTGGTGTAACATGCACCTGCTGATCTGCTGGGCTCTTCCTGCACAGCCACCTGTGGAGTTCAGCAAAAGGCAGAATATCCAGTGAGTTCTCCGGGTGAAAAGGTGTAGTTGATGTTAGAGCAAATCAGAGCTCGTTACAACCGAGGTATGCAGAAGAGCGGGGCTGAGTGCACAGCACATCGAACAGATGTGCTACAGCAGCAGAAGAACAGGAAGCCACTGCTCACACAGGCGCAGCAAAACTGGAGAAGAGTGGAAACACTGCCAGGTGTGCCGAGTTTCTGCTGCCACACGGTACAGCTCGCCGTGCGTCAAATATGACGGCAGATCATAGACATCAGACGTGGGGATGCGTGGCGTGTCTGTCTGATAATGTGGCTGCGTGACACACAGCTGAAACACGTGGGGGAGCACATGTTCAATGTCCTGTGTTATTTTTCAGGACCTGATGACCATCAGCCCCTGGCACCCCCTCCTCTGGCTCTTTCTGAAGGCAAACCCTTTCATCCAGTTTCAAAGGTAAAGATGAATCGTGCACTAGGCTAGCACGTTATATAACCTCAGCTCTCTGCACTTTGTGAACCTCTAATCCAAGATCAATCTGTTTTTGTTAATACAAGAATCCAACATTATTTTCGTCAGTGTTGATCTGTGACCGTGTGACAAAGAAAAGGTCCACATCCTAAGGTTAGACTCAGATGTGTCTGAGTCCACCCTCTAACATATGTTTCATATGTTATTCACTCTAAAAACATTACTTTGTTAGGTTCAGGATCTTTAAAGGGTTCTATTGGTTTAGGCCCTAAAAAGGAACAGTTGGAGTTAGGAATACAACATAAACTGAATTAGAAAAAGCTCATGGTTTGGGTTCAAATTCTGCTTTATTTATACAGCTCCAAATCACAGCAACAGTCACCTCAAGGTGCTTTATACTGTGAGGTCGACTCTACAATGACACAGAGAAATCACAACAATGAGCAAGCACTTTGGCGACAGTGGGAAGGAAAAACTCCCTTTTAACAGGAAGAAACCTCCAGCAGAACCAGGCTCAGGGTGGAGCCGCCACCTGAGACCAGTTAGGGGTGAGTGGAGGAAGACAGGATAAAGACATGCTGTGGAAGAGAGACAGAGATGGATAACAACTAAGGATTCAGTGCAGAGAGGTCTATTAACACATAGTGAGTGAAGAAGAAACACCCAGTGCATCATGGGAATCCCCGGCAGCCTACGTCTATTGCAGCATAACTAAGGGAGGATTCAGGGTCACCTGGTCCAGCCCTAACTATATGCTTTAGCAAAAAGGAAAGTTTGAAGCCTAATCTTGAAAGTAGAGATAGTGTCTGTCTCCTGAATCCAAACTGGAAGCTGGTTCCACTCACAGTGTGCACACGTGCAGTTATTTCTATTTTGGATGCAAAAAGTCTTGAATGTCTTCCTTCAGCGTCCGCAGCGTCTTGGCTGCTGTGTGGGACAGAAATGATTGATGCAGTAGCTGAAACTGTGAGACTCGTTTGTCTTTTCTCAGCAGGAGGAAGCCAAGATGTTGACACTGGTGAAGCAGGAAAAAGAGGAGAGAGATGACTGTAACTTGGACGTGAAGGTGGAGGTTAACATAAGGGCGGAGTGTGGCCTCTCTGCAGGTGAGTGTGGCCCCCACACAGTTACATCAGTGTTTTGTTGGCTGCTCACATGGTTTCAGTGTTACTGTCTGTCCTTCTACAGCTTTGGAGCCCAGCGAGGAAAGCCCCCCTGCTGACACTGTCCTCGACACCAGCGTCAGCAGCCTCACATCCTCCACATCACAGCTGTCCTCCTCTCCTGCTGATGCCACGATGGACCTGACCTGCAGGCCTCGAGCAAAACGTAAGGCTGCTAAGCCCGTAGGCAACACTGAGGGGGTCCATGCCTCCGAAGCGGCTCGCAGGGACCCTTCGGGGAGCCTACCTGATATGGCTCTGAAGCCAGAGGTCCAGACAGATGAGCTCACAGAAGATGACCTTCATCCCTCTCAGCTGTCGGCCACTATAGCCTCTGATGAGTCGAGCTGCGACCGCCTCAACAGCCTGGGCCTGGATCTGGCCTGGATGCAGGAGCGTGTCAGCCATCTGGGAGCAGCCTATGCAGTAGCACAGCTGGGTTTGGGGAACACGGACAGCGGGCACCCTTCTGCCTCCTTCCCCTCACAGGGAGGGGGAGAAAGTCTCGACGGCCCCCCGACTATGCTCTTTACAGGCAGCGCTCACGAGATGGCTGCTTTTGCTGCCTCCTTCGACATGGCTGCTGCTGCCGCCGCCGTAGTAGCTGCACCCCCTCCACCTCCGCCTCCTCCCCCTCCTCCGACAGCTCCCACTGGCACTGCCAGCAGCCAGAGGCGGCCTTACAGGAGCAGCACCGCCGCCGCAAAAGAGCCGGTGGCGTGCGCTGTGTGCGGACGTGTGTTCCCCAGCACGGCCGGCCTGGAGTTGCACCAGCGGGTGCACACCGGGGAAAGACCTTACACTTGCCCTCACTGTGGGAAGGGTTTTGCCCAGCCCAACAACCTGCGGGTTCACCTCCTCATCCACACCGGTGAGAGGCGTTATCGATGCACGCTGTGCGGGAAGAGTTTCATCTCATCGAGCCATCTGAAGAGGCACCGTACAGTTCACACACAGGAGAAACCCTACAGCTGCTCGCGCTGCGGCCAGTCCTTCAGCCAGATGTGTAGCGTCCGCAGACACCGGCAACAGTCTCAGTGTGGCCTGTAGCATGAATGCTGTAGCAACATCTGATACACTCTGGACTCTGAATGGTGAACATTTAAAGATGGTAGCTTGAGCGTAGATGAGGTGATGTCATGATGACGTTCAGAGTAAATGTTTGTAAATGTTTGTCCTAAATCAGTTCTTCGGTTGGTCTACCCCACACTGTCTTCATATTGGTGGTTTGACAGTGAGACACGGTCACACAGGTGAGTTTGTGATAGACTCTGAGACTAAACTGAGACTAGACTCTGAGACTAGACTGAGACTAAACTGAGACTAGACTCTGAGACTAAACTCTGAGACTAGACTCTGAGACTAAACTGAGACTAAACTCTGAGACTAGACTGAGACTAGACTCTGAGACTAAACTCTGAGACTAGACTCTGAGACTAAACTCTGAGACTAGACTGAGACTAAACTCTGAGACTAGACTCTGAGACTAGACTCTGAGACTAGACTGAGACTAAACTCTGAGACTAGACTGAGACTAGACTCTGAGACTAGACTGAGACTAAACTGAGACTAAACTCTGAGACTAGACTGAGACTAGACTCTGAGACTAAACTCTGAGACTAAACTCTGAGACTAAACTCTGAGACTAAACTCTGAGACTAGACTCTGAGACTAAACTGAGACTAGACTCTGAGACTAGACTCTGAGACTAGACTCTGAGACTAGACTCTGAGACTAGACTCTGAGACTAGACTCTGAGACTAGACTGAGACTAAACTGAGACTAGACTCTGAGACTAGACTGAGACTAGACTCTGAGACTAAACTGAGACTAGACTCTGAGACTAGACTCTGAGACTAAACTCTGAGACTAGACTCTGAGACTAAACTCTGAGACTAGACTGAGACTAAACTCTGAGACTAGACTCTGAGACTAGACTCTGAGACTAGACTCTGAGACTAGACTCTGAGACTAGACTGAGACTAAACTCTGAGACTAGACTCTGAGACTAAACAGACTAAACTGAGACTAGACTGAGACTAAACTCTGAGACTAGACTCTGAGACTAGACTCTGAGACTAGACTCTGAGACTAACAATAAACTCTGAGAACTCGTTCGAGTGAGCTGTGACGAAAACCCCTCCTTAATAAAACCGCGATGTCGAGAGCAAATAAAAGGGCAGAACCTCTATTTTAATCTCGTGGCCCAAGGAGCATGACTGTGTACCAGTTTGGCTCATGCTTTTATCAAACATCGGTGTTCATGACTAGATGAAGCTGGAAGCTGACAGTGCAGTGTAGTGGCAGCGACACGGCTGCTGATTCCAGCATGTTGTATTTCATGCTGTCAGCAGCTGTAAGTAGCAATGACAACAGAAAGTCTGACTTTTGCTGCGCAGACTCTCCACCTAACTGTTGTTACCTGGTGCTATGTACATAAAGCAGTGATGGCAAACAGCATCTGCACATCTGTTGAAGGTGATCGCTCTATTTAGAAGAGTGGACTTTATTCCATCCATTAAATATTGGTTGATAAAGTTTGCAAACACAGAGCACTTTCTTTAGTCTAACATCAGAACATCGGTCATTAATGGGACTCTCAATATGCCAAATTCATGTTTGAATGTATTATTAACATAATGAACATTAGTCAATCCTGCACACAGAGAGTGTGCTACATGTGGCACAGTAACAGTACCTTAGTTATGTCTCAAGAACCAAGAAGGGAAATCCCAGAACGTTGTCTGTGTTTGTGTGGATGCTGCGCTTTGTTTGGGAGAAACGTTTCACGGCCCATCCGGGTCAGGCTGCAGCTTTCCCACCGTGCACACAGCACAGCTGACACGAGCACCACTAGCTCCGTTTCATAAACATTAATATGCAAATTGTCATGAACATTGATCGCTGACCACGAGTGCGATTCACAGAGTCAGGACTGGCAGCATTCACGGCGCTGACTCTCGTCCCGTGGATGGGCTGCAGCTTTCCTCAGTCCTGTTGGGATAATCACCTCGATCTCTTTGACGGTCCTTTTCTGGGCTCTGCTTTCCAAAGTCCAGAGTTCCAATCAGAGGTCTTTATGGCCCGGATAAGGTGAACAGTCGAAAGGAAAAGTGGACATAGAAGGCACGTTGTAGCGGGACAGTGGGTTTCATCTTATTTTAGCTGATATGAAGAAGACGCGTGTCCTGGTTTGATGGGAGGAGCTGCGAGGGGCGGGCTGCTGCAGGAAGGCTAGGATACCACAGCTGTGCAGCGGCTAGGAGTCCATGTTGCTGCACGATTACAAAAGCTATAACAAACTGAGTAATGTTGTTGTAAAAAAATTCCAGACTCTTCCGTTGAAGCACTTTAAAGGTTCCCCTTTGTTAGAAGGGAAAAACTGGAGTCGCGGTTTGATTCCATGCTCTCTGTATCAGCGTCATCATGACAGTATCGTGGACGAGTGGCCTTCTCAGACCTGTGCAGTGACTCTGACGTGTTGGCACTTTGTTGAAACACATCTTGTTGCCCAAGCTCGCACCTCCTCGTTGTGCTGACTACATTTATGTGTGTGCACTTCACATTCATATTGAATTGATGGAAATGTAATAAGCTGTTGTGAAGAGAGGGCATTACATTTGGATTATTGTTATTATTATTTTTGGATGCAGAGCCTGACTGGAGAAGCTTTTTCCAGGTCCAGGCCTGAAGATGAATCTTTTAATGTCAGACATTCATTGTCCACATTTCAACACATCACAGGACTGTAAAAAGATGTAAAGTGAAACATATATATCAGAGTCGTGTTAGTGTGTGTTGGTGTCTGACTGTAATCGGCTGTAGCAGCTAAAACAAATACTTTGCCTTCGAGTATTCTTTCATGACATGTTTCAGTGTTGATGTCATTAAATATGTAGGAGGTTTGCAGTGAACCTCGCCATGCTGTGCTCATCATTTCTGCTGTGTGCTGTCACTTTGTCATTTGTATGTTCCAGAGCTGTCACTTCAGAGGTGGCTACACTGACTTGACCCGAACCACCGTTTACCTGCACATCCTCTCTGTGGAGACATTCTGCTTTATGTACGAGACGACAGCAGTTAGATCTTTGTGCGTGTCTCAGTGTTCCACAATTGTAATGATTACATTTGCATACACACCCAGTTATCATTATTTTTTATAATTTAATAGATAAAAACATGACAGCAGAAGGTGTTGTGCTTAGCAGTAGGTGTGGCTGTAGCTCAGGAGGCAGAGATCACTTACTAACAGGAAGGTTGCTGCTGTATCTTTATGTGTGGCTGGACAAGTTGTTTTTAAAACTATCAGCACAGCCAGATGAAATGAAGTTGTGTCATACAGTACACTCATACCTGAGATTATAAAAGATATTGAGATATTGTTATCCAGCCACAGTCTGATGTTTCTCTGTTATTTTAGCCGCTGTTACAGAATTAGACAAATTCAGAGTCGTAGCTAAATCAGGTGATCTGGTGACAAACACACATCTGAACAAGTTGGAGCTTTAGTGCCACCGAGCTACGAGCAGCATTACGTCCTCCGGAACAGAGGGTGGCGCTGTTACGGCAAACTGGCTGTGAGCCGCCGTCAAACAGGAGATGCACTTTAGCGGTGAGGTGCTAGTGTTTACCTGCTAGCTGTGCTGTGAACGACCTCCAGTAGTTTCTTAGTCCTACTCGAGCAGTGAAAGAGCAAAGACCGAGCAGCCAGCGGCTAACAGCCATGTCCAACCGCCTGGCCTTCCAGACCCAGCTGGCCTCCATCATGGAGGTCCTAGCAAACGCAGCGGTGGCGGAAATCTGTAAGCTGGTTGACGACGACTACGCTGTGGTGAGGTTGCAGATGTCTCAGTGCCAGAGAGAGAACAAGGCCCTGAAGAGGAAACTACACCTGCTGGAGCTGAAGATGGCCCGGGGAAATGCCGAGAGAAGGCTCCGGGAGAGTGCCCTGAACAGCAGCCGGCCGAGGGTGCAGATAAACGGCAGCGACAGGCCCCGAGAGCCCTCCACCCCCGCCGGTACGGTCAGCACGAATAATCCGAGCAGTAAGAAGAGTCCAGTCTGAAACCACATCAGGCTTTCTTCACTCACACGTTTATTATGTTGTAAAAAGTCTGGGCCCTGGATAGAGCCGGGGCTACAGTGTGCCTAGCTCGTTTTTCCGGTGTGCAGAGAGGGCACAAAGTGGACACACGAGCATCTCTGGTTCATTCATGCAAACTCAGAAACCTCTTCATCGAGACTCGATGAAATGAACGTCTCCGCCCATCAGCTGTTATACCGGTACATTACAGAGCACATGTAGAAGCCTCCTACATCAAATCTGCATTTACATATAACCCCATCTTCTTTTCTGATCGGCTGTTTTCAGCTTATTTGTACCTTGTGACAATGAGCCTCCCGTTCTTGGTTCATGTTTGTCACCCTGCGCTGTGATTTCAGACACGTCACAGGGCTCTGACTAAGGCTTCCCACGGTTGCACTGGTGCGCCTAGCGGTTTTTCTTAGCTGCACCAGGACAGAAGATAGGTGCAACTGCATCACTTAACACCGCAGTTTTACATGTTGACTTACAGACAATATTGATTTGTAAATGATTAACGAACAATGTTGTCAACACAAAGTTCTTTATTTGGAGCTCAGTTCTACAAGAAACACAAGTTACTGACAAAGTGCTTAAAGCGCTTCACTGAGCTGAAATTTAACCTCAAAACATCTCAAGACATTCAATGAAAAGAAAATCTAAAAGGACCTCAAAGTGTCTCACGGGCTTCAAACTGAACATCTCGGTGTCGGCACAGCTTGATATCTTATGGACTGTCCTCCATTGCAGTCACATGGCCCTCAGATGGCCAACTCCTGTGATTTGGCCTTTTTCTTCTTTTCATCTTTTCTCATTACCCACAGCTACATCTGCTGCTGTCAGGCCGAGGCTGCTCACCTCTCTGTATCCGCCTGCACTTTCAAACGTACACACACACATAGGCCTACAGGAATATCTGGACCATGGCCAATCAGAGACTATCTTTGATTGGTTAGACCATGATATGGGCATAATGTGTGTCTGTTGTTGACCGCATGGAGACTTTCAGTGTTGTGGGGACTGGCTGGTCTCACCTGTGTGACCTAGGATTTTTTGTTTGAGAAATTTGGTCGCATTCTAGAGCCCTGAATCAGTTGAAAAAGAGGTGCAGGTGGGAAGAGACTACAAACAGCAGAGGAGACGAGAAGATGGTCACACAGACGGTCATTTGGCCAGCCCTCGTTACATGGATATGACAGCAGAGGACTCTAGTGTCCCCCTGCAGTGCCTGGCATAGATGTGTGTTGTAATCTGTTGGTGCTACACAGAGCTTTGGTCCCAAGTGACACCAACACGAACCTCTGTCCTAATGAGGACACACATGTGATCTTTGTCTTAGTGTTTAGGTCTGAGCACAGAGCAAAGATGGAAACCAGCACAGAGACTTCAAAGTGATTCAGGTAGAAACGGAGGCTGACCGCTCCGATTCTACCTGGGTTGCTCGCTTGGTTGCTGTTTTGATCACGTAAACGATGTATATCTCTGCCCCCGTCCTGATCCAGTTTGAAATCGATGTGGAAGAAGTGCAAACTGAATCCCAGCCCTTCTCCATGAGCTATCAGTTAGTCAGATTTTGTTGCTCTATAAAATGACTGCTCAACATAAACCAACCATGATGTAACCTTTTTAAGCTTTCTAACCAGCTGTTTAAAGTCTCTGGTTCCCACCATTTGAATCAAATACTTGGCAAAACACTTGAGTAACCACGTCGCTCGAGTGACGCTCGGTGGAGTCCTTTATTTACATTTGGGTGGCACATTAGTGGCTGCTAGTATCTCCAGCTTCATAGCCTGCACTCCACGCTGTCTTTTTGCCTCAGGTGGTTAAACAGGGCTTTGTTGTTTCCACGGTTGTGCGTGTCAGGAGAACGTTGACGTAGATCCTTTGAAATAAATCTGCCTCTGAGGCTGACGCGTTTGTGTCATCGTTCTGTGCATTAGAGAATGTAAATGCCATTATATCACAATGTGACACTTTATTAATCACATAGTGTTGGCCGTGCTGCAGGTTAGCATCTGAAAGTGTGTTTGAGATGGAGAGGAACAGCTCAACACTTTCACTTGGATCAGGAAGTGTACAAAGTTTAAATGGCAGGAATAATCAAACACGTGATTTATGCAGAACGCCAGCTGATGTTTGAGTGTGAATGCATGGCACGTGCACAAAACCCCCCAGCAATGTACATATCACATTTTAGACAAAATCAAACTGAAACAAATGTTTAGCAAAAAAACATAGTATTACATAATAAGACTCTTTTTTTTGTTTGTTTTCTAATTCAGTTTTATTTACACAGCGCCAAATCACAACAACAGTTGCCTCAAGGTGCTTTATATTGTACAGTAGATGCAGAGAAAACCCAACAATCATATGACCCCCTATGAGCAGCACTTTGGCGACAGTGGGAAGGAAAAACTCCCTTTTAACAGGAAGAAACCTCCAGCAGAACCAGGCTCAGGGAGGGCGGGGCCATCTGCTGCAACAGGATAAAGACATGCTGTGGAAGAGAGACAGAGGTTAATAACAGGGATGATGGGGAAACAGGAAGATGAATATTATGGATGCATGTTCTCAAAATACTTCAACTGTAACATTGAAATATTGAATAAAATAAAGTTTCTCTGGTAAAATGCTGATACAGCTGAACACAGTAAAATAAGTAACTTGTGCCTGTCAAACACACCGTCACACCCACATCATGGTTAAAATAAACAGGTGGGCTCTGCCATTACTGCCCTATAGGGACGGAGGGGCGGGATCTATTTACACTGACACAGAGCGTTCACTTCCAATAGTGTAATATGTGAGCCAAACATGAGAATAACATCGGCATTTGAAGACAGCTGCTTTTCTGTCGTGTAGGTGACGTGTTTGACCAGCAGAGGGAGGTGCTTCTGTGGCCCAGCGGAGACGCAACCGGTGAACTGATCCTGTCTGAAAGCATGCACAGTAAGGTAGGCACATCATCACAGGTTAGCGTATGTGCACGCTGCTGTGTGAAGCTGCTATTGGCTGACTGAGAGACGATTCCGTGTTGCTGTGCAGTCTCCAGATGTGGAGCTGGTGGAGCCGGAGGCAGTGCTGGTGAAAGAGGAGAAGGTGCAGGCAGCCACGTCTCGAGATGAAGCGGAGCAGAGTACGTCACTTATAGGAGATGATGGTGAGTACAGACAGAAACACTAAGGCTGCTGAGTGGACGAGTACTGACACTGGGACATTTCCACGCAACATGCCGTGCTGCAGTTTAAAAATCTTAACACCTTCGATCAAATCGGTCGTAGTTTAAACCGCACATGCACGTGGTTGGAGGCGTCGCCTCAGAGGAACAAGGCTCGGCTTTTTTCTGTGGGTTTGCTCCTCCCACAGTCCACACACATGCATGTTAGGTTAGTTGGTAATTCTGAAGTTGACCGTGGACATAAAGCATGAGTGGTCCCAACACAGACACACAGCTGAGCGTGTGGGGATTCCCACTGGGAGAGCACTCAGAGTGACCGTGATCAGATAATAACAATACTAACCCATCCAAAGAGACGGCACACAGGTCTGTCATGGAGAACAAATCACTACTGTCATTTAACTGGATGCAACATCTGTACAACATCTGTACAACTGAACCCTTTTATGTGTCATTAAAATGATACTTTTTAAAGAAAACGTCCTAAATGAGTAAATAAGTGTGTTAGTGAGTGACAGGTGTGACCTGTAGGTTTAGACGCTGGTGTGCACAGACAGTATTCAGGTTAGGATGTAGGTGTCAGTAAAATAGTTTCTTGGTCACATTTGTGTTTGGATTGAAGCACTCAAGTCCTCAGAAGGCAAAGCTTTACATTTGTAGAGTAGGTAGGCTCACATCGTACACATTTGTAGCTCTGACTGTACTCGTACAGCCTAAACTCGGACATGAAGACGGTGCTCTGTCCTCCTGGAGGAGTTTTACATGAAGAGGAGGAACAAAAAGCTCAGATCTGCTGCATCAGATCAGAGTGTGTGTGTTAGCCTCACACAGAGCGAGCGTGTGGCTGCTCTCAGGTTTGCTGTGCGGTTGCGTGTTGTTGTACGCTCCTACAGCAGGTCTGCTTTTAGGCACAAATGTAAACTGCAGCTCTAAGCAGCGTGCTTACAAGCTGCGCTCTGCATCAAATGCATCCAAGCAAAAACAATGCATTGAGGAGTTTTTATAATTTCTACAACAGAGAGGTTCACATATTTCAGGACATGAGTGCTGCAGGTAGAACAGAGCACAGCAGGGTTTCATATCCTCTAAAGCTGTTTGTTTGGATATGAAACATGTTTGACCATGAAAGAGTTAAAACACTGTAGAACAGCTCGTATATTAAAAACATTAAAACAATGCAAAGCCAAACAGGACACGCTGTTACAGCCATGTTGCTTCATAACAGCTGTGACTCCTCCCACACCGAGTGTGATGATGAGCAGGGGCAGGTAAAGTTCACATGTGAGAGTCGGTGGACATTTCCTTGCATATTTTATATCCTGCTTAGACCGTCGTGGTAAGAAAGTCGTCTCTTATTTCTGAGATTTGATGTGTCGTGTTGTGAAACTGCAGAGAGCTCAAACAGCAGTAGTTTCTGTAAGCTCAGATATCGATGTGGTCTTCAGTTCTCCAGGCTCCTCTGTCAGGTTTGAGCCCACGCTGCTTCAGTAACGATGGGCGGTGTGACCGCCCAACAATCAATATGCTGCCAGTCAGACTCTGTGCAGATCTGCTAAAATATTTTCATACAAGAATCTATTTAACATATTAGAGACCTCAGAGGAGGTTTCACAGTGTGGTGGTTAATGGAGTCACTCACAAAGGGAATGATTGCTGGTTCTTTCTTTGGCCCGGTGAGGAAGGCCATCCGACAGAAAGCTTCCGTGGCGACTCTGTGACGGCAGCAGCCAACGGTATCTGTTAGAGACTTTGGAGAAACGTTGTTGTGCCTCGTTCTACATCTGTGACTCTGAAAGTCGTCTCCCTGTTTTCCCTGAGAGTGTGCAGAGCTGCGTATCCACACGTGTTACAGCCAGTACTTAAATAGCAGTTAGCATTATAGAATAGTGCTCTACTAATTGAGTGTAATGGTAAACTGAGTTTTCTTTCTGTGTTTGAAGGGCTGATGGAGTGTGTCCCTCATGGAGCTGAAGGTCAGATGCCTGGCCCCGAGGACCAGGACGCCCAGTCCGTGTCTACTCGATCCCAGTCGCAGAGCCAGGCGTGCAGGACGAAGCTTACCGGCAGCAGGGGAGTGGAGGTCAGTGGCTCCTCTCCTCTTAAGTGTGAACTCACTGCTTCTGTTGAAGGCAGAGACTCGCTGCAGGAAGTGGCGATCCCACACCGGTACGTCGACGATGGCAGCAGCGACTCAAAGTTTGACGTCTTGTGTGACATCGATAAAACCGGTCACTCGTTGGTCGGGGAGTTTTTTGACGAGCCCTCAAATGTTGACGTGGAAGGAACGAGTCCGTCGTGTTCGTACTCGATGGCGGCCGTCGATTTGCCGTCAACTTCTTCCGGTGTTAATGGCTGGAATCGCTATGACAACGTGTTTTCCTTGCCCCGGCCCTTCACTGACGGCAGCAAAGCGTTCCCGCGCACTGGCAGGGAAAGACTGTTTGCCTGCAGCTACTGCGGCAAAGCTTTTAACCGGCCCAAGAAAGTGGAGATACACCAGCGTGTCCACACAGGGGAGAAGCCTTTCAGCTGCTCCACATGCGGGAAGATGTTCTCAGAGGCCGGGAACCTGAGAAAACACCAGAGAGTCCACACTGGGGAGAAACCGTACACCTGTGGGGTGTGTGGCAGGGGATTTGCCTGGATAAGAAACCTGAAAACACACCAACAAAAGAGCCACGCTGACGTTTACAACGCAGAGACCTGGGAGGGTAAATGAGCTGCAGTTGTGTGAAAGGTGCAGAGACACTGGAAGGCCGCTTTGTGCTGGACAGAATGGAAAGTAAATCTGTGGCGACTACAGTCGTTGTTTTTACACGAGTGAAATTTACACTCCTCCCACATGATACTCAACATTGGAATCAGGGCAGTGTGTCAGCTAGCCGTTACAGCAGAGCTGTAAAGCAGAGTGAAGCTCTGTTTGCTTCCACATCTGTGTGTGTTTCTGTAAAAGCAGGCAGCCAGGCCTCCTCTGATTGGTCAGGTCCAGTGTCCTGGTTCTCGCTCTGCTGGTTTGTGTATGCCCCCGTGCAGGCGTCGTCTGTAAGCCAGACGCTGTGGTGTTATAGATGTATGATTTGTAAAAAAACACGTCAACATAGCATTTTGTTTCATGGCGTCTAAAATAATAACTTTATGATAAAACAAATCGTAGTTTACAAAAAGATGCTTGAAACATTTTCAGGAGGCTGAATAGAAAAGGTTGAAGTTACATCTCCAGTCGTAGAACCAAAATCAGCACCCAGGCAGGGCTGTAAGACAGGACGCTATGTCTCTGATGGCGATATAAAAACGTCGTTTCATTTTACGCTGTCGTTTGTTTCATGGTGTCACACAATAAAGTGTTTACAGCAATATCATGGTCCTGATGGTCGCTGTAGTGGCTACATTCATTTCTTAACGTTCTCTGTTTCTCTTATATTTAATATAACCACACTACGGACGGACAAGCGCCTGTTTTTACATGTTGTCGTTAGCAACAACGACGGTAAACCCAGCATGAGGCTCCGCCGTCCTCTTGTTTATTTTCCACATAAACCTTTCACAATAAAGCTTAAGATCCTGTTGAGATTTTTCAAAATAAACTGAAATGATGACAAACAGAAGGACCAGTCCAAACAAATCGAGGACCTTATTGGTAACCGAGGGGCCACCTCTGTAGCACGGACGTGGTTTGGTTATGAAGAGTCTGACACGGACCAGAACAATCATGGTGCAAACTGGTCTCAGACTCAAACATGACAAACCTCTTCTACCACCTACTGTTACGCCCCTGTCGAGGGGTACAGGAACGAAGCATAAGCTGAAAGAAGAGTGACCCCGCCCTGGTCCCCAAAACCACACCACAGCCAATTTAGATGTGAAAGTGGTTTATTGTGCCTAAACTGAAGCGTGACTCCGGGCTGAACAAAGGCCAAAATAACAAACAAAACCAGTCAAGGGGGTGCTACCTGAACCCTACGTGATAAAAAGAACAAACCAAAGACAAATGCCCCAACTGAATAAACAGGAGAAAATAATACAGAAAATAACAAGGCAGCTCACCCTTCGGCTTCAGTGACTATTTACACGTGACTCTAAACTACACACTACATACAGAAGCTCAGCAATCCTCAGGAGCACACACGCGAGTAACACAGGGTCTGGAGGCCAAGCATGGGTCTGCTGCTGCTGTCAGTGTTGCCAACTCCTCAGTAAGGAAAATCGCTATTGGCTGTCCTAAAAGTTGCTAGAAGTCGCCAAATGACGTCATCGCCTAATCTGCATAATTGGTCATGCTAATGTAATTGTAACCTACGCTGTTGGAGAGAGAAATAACATCGTGGAAGAGACATAAAGTGAGTAAAAAACGTCCTAAATGCATTTAGAATTTATTTAGAACTACGAATTAAATTTCTTTTAGCAGTTATTGTTTTTTAATGTCACAATTCCAACCCTGCTCCTTTACCCGGGCTTGGACCGGCAAAAGTGACCCGAAACAGGCGCTCTGGTGGAGTTACTTTGTGTGTGTGTTTATAAGTAGTTTTAAACCTTGTGATCCACAAAACAGCATAAGAGTAAAAGAAGAACTGACTGCGTTACAGTCAGTGCGGGAGCAGCGGCTTCGCTCATACGCGATTCATTTGCCGTTTGGATGCACAGGTGTGAACGTCTCCTGCCCTGATAGCAGCTGGGGAGGACTATCGTCCGCCCGTGAGCGCTTTGGCACGGGTGAGGTGTCCACGGCAGCACCGCTGCTTGTTGAGAAAAAGAGCGATACGCATTTTCACGTCAAAAAGTCGTCATAAATAAGTCTCCAGTAACACCAGAAAAAGTCGCCAGATTTGTCGCTAGTCGCTTTTTAGAAAAAATGTCGCTAAGGGGTCTGAAAACTAGCTAAATATAGCGACGAAGTTGGCAACACTGGCTGCTGTCAGCTGCTGGTGACAGATTTTCAAAGCAGCCACATGATCAGGGGACCAATCAGCAGCCGTCAGCTTCTCCAATCAGGGACCTGCAGAGACTTTTAAAGACACAGACAGGCAGAACGAAAAACAGCCACCACGACACATTATGGCCAGGGCCGTAACACCTACACAAGAATCCCCTGACAGAGTACGGAGAGAGTTTACGGACGAGAAGCAAAAAGAGCCGTCAGGTGCTCCAAATAAACCTTAGACTCTCTGCACTCTGCAGGCTGTTTAATGCATCGGTCTAAACACTCGACTGCAGGTACACGACGCCCAGCTGAAAACACTTCACGCAGGTCGAGTCGGCCGAGATTCACAGAATTTACAGCAAATTCACTATTTTGTGATATATATGGTTGTGATTTGGGATTTTGGTCATATCGCACAGCCCTACACCCGGGTTAAGAGCACATGTTGTTCAAAGGCTCAGCACTGTGCTACCTTTACCTGTGCTGCTGTGGATGAAGCTGCATTAGTTTGATCAGTGAGATGTGCAGACAGCAGATTAATGTGTGTATCACTACTGTACCAGGGGACAAACTGCAGCGCGCTCTCGGTAGTGAACGAGCGCGTCAGCCAGTGCAACGACGTGACTCGCCCTCACTGTGGCACAGAGGAATACGATGTGTGACGAGACCTGAAACCGTGCTGCCGTCAGTGCACGTAGTGACCTGCTGTCAAAGGTTTGTGGCCCACAAAAGCACGTTTACATCAGCTGTTACATTAAAATGTGTCCAGTCACATTTACAGACTGGCTGTTTTAACCTTTGGGAGGGAGACTGTGCTAAGCATGAACACTGCTAACCTAGCAGTTAGTAACAGTGATGTTTGTCACACGCTGTTGGGTTGGAATTGATCTGAAATGGCTTTGTTTGAATTGCAAAGTATTTTAGTTACAGAGTCTACATTTGTTTGTAGCTCATGTTAGCGTCAGAGCATTGCTCATTTTGGTAGGTTTCCACTTTCTGCATGCATCATTTCATTAAGGAATAAAATGTTGTCTTTTACCTCAAATGCGTGGGTTATTTGTTTTCAGACCCTGCAGAAACATTACAGCTGATAAATGATAAAGCTTCAGATGTAACCCTTGACACCTGCATGAAGGCGTCCTCGGCTGTTGTACTGCATACTAGGCTGGGTATCGTCACTGATTTCTAGAATCGATTCGATCCACGATTCCATTCGATTTGAGTCGGGGAAATTTTGCCTCAGACAGTCAGAAATATTATAATTCTGATCACGTATCAGTACATTTCCATATTTTTATATCTATAAAAAGAAAGCTGACACTTGTGAGACTTTATCAAAGGTGTGAGCGTCACAGCAGAGGCCTTTGTGTCAAAGTAGCTGAAGATAAAACACAGAAAAACATGAAGGAGAATTTCCTGCCCTGGATTTTATAATAATATTCTGCAGTAGATCAAAAATGAAAGAAGACCATGAATCAACACATGAACATTACCTGATGCTGCTGAAGTGAAACAGAGCAAACTTACAGCAGTTTTACAGACACAGCTGAGAGTTTTGCATTTTGCACAATTTTAAAAAGTTTACATTTGTTCAGTATTGAACGGCAGAAATTAGGTTTTCTTTTCGGAAGTAAGTAAAAGGAAAAAAACAGCATCCGACAGGCTGTAAACAACGGTAGACTTGTGCGTAACAAGCAAGCGAATAATGCAGAAAACAGATTTTTAGACGGGAAACTGTTGTTGGAGAGAGAGAGAGCTGTGCATCGTGGTGGAAGCAAAACAGCAAAAGTCAGAGTGAATTCATGACGATGTTTATGTGAAGCGTAGTTTGGATCTTCTTTTGCTGCTGGTTCGGTCAATGTTGTTTGGAGAGCGATAAAACTAACAGCTTCAGAATCAGCGCAAAAAGGGCGTGAACACAAAGCTCGACCCGCCGACACATCAGACTCAGCGAGCTGTCGGCTTTCAGCCCCGACCGTGTCCGTGCCGTCAGGTGAGAAAGGCGACATCTCACTGATCCTGATCCGTCGGCGGGTCGAGCTTTGTGTTTACGTCTTTGTGCAGAATCCGTGTTCCTGCTCTCATTTACTGTTTGAGCTGTTTGGTGGTTGTTGGAATTTTGTGAGGTTTAACCTGAGATTCTGGCGTTTCGGGCAAAATAAATTTACATTTAAAAATCGATTCAGGATTTTAATGAATCGATATCACATTATCCAAGCCAGAATCGATTTTAATTGATAAATCGATAATCAAAACCCACCCCTACTGCAGAGGTTACTTCAAATCAGTGATAATAACACAGAAATCATATTTGTCCATTCATCCATTTTCTAACAACTCGTGGGGGTGGCAGTCAAGCAGAAAACCCAGATCTCCTGCTCCCTGGCCATCCAGAGGTGCTCCCAAGCCACCTGAGAGAGGTTGCAGGAAGTCACAGCTCTACTCTAGTGCTTCTCTACGCTGAGCACTCAAAGATTTTTACACAGCATCCATTCATTCAAGCATTTTTACTATACTTAAGTGCTTTGTATCTAACAATTACGCTGAAGAGCAAGTTAGTATCCTGCCCAAGGATACTAACTAGAGCAGGCAGGGATCACCGCCAACCTTCCAATTCGGCAGTAGAGGAGGAGGATGACCTGCTCTACTTCCTGAGCTAAAGCCACCACATGACCTCTTGGGACCACCAAAAAATATACCTTCCAACAGGGACGGCTCAGGCAGGCAGTATGGACCAAGCTGTCACTGCAGTTCTGAGGGACTAAATGGACCAGACCACATACTCCTGAAGCCCCGCCCACAGGATCCCCTGAGGGACGTGACTGAATGTCTCTCCCACCGAACACCTGCAGACTGATTGGACAAACTCCCTCAAATAACCTGAAGAGGATAACGAGCTAGTCCGGTTTTGACCAAGGTGGAAACCAGTAAATTGTTGTTTACTCATATTTCTTGACCTCCGCGCTGCGTTTGATTCTGTTACCATAATATTTAATAGGCTCAGTGTTTTGGCTGGTATCTCCAGCTCAGCACTAGACTGGTTTTCTTCTTATTTATCTGGAAGGACATTGTATTTGGGTGAGCAAGTTCTCCTTTTATACTGCATCTCTAAGCTGTGGGGCTCAAAAGGTTCAGTGTGGGGCCATTGTTGTTTTCCTTTAACGTCCTTTTCTAGTGTTTCTTGTTTCTGTGGCGCAGACAAATGTTTGAGCCTCAGCAGCTGGATAGGCTGTCCACACTAGTTCACTGTTTATCCCAGAATTGTGACCGCCTCTCCAATAATAAATATGTATATTATCTTTAGTTCCAACAAGACTGAGGCTACATTATAGCTCCTGCTGATATGTATTCAAGAATCAGCTCCTCTGTGAAGACCCGTTTTCCTAATCTTGATGTCATGTTTAATTCTGAACGTTGGCTCACATGTATAGGGTCGATGTCACGCTCCTGTTTCTTTTCTACTCTAAACTGTGAGCTGTAGTGTTGTGCTCTGAACCAGAGGAAACCGTTCATGCGTCAGCGTGCCTAGACCACTGTAATGCTTTTTACCAGGATATGTGTATCGTCTCATTCATGCCTCCCAGTCATACAACATGCTGCACCTAGCAAGTTCACATTACCCTTTTATTAATTTTCAGGGGCTTTCAGTTGATTTTAGATTTTCAAATTCTCACACTTACATACAGACAAGCTCCAAAATACTTGCTGTCTGCGGTCTTTGCTCACAAGCTCAAAACCTAATAGTTTTTGCTCGTATAAGACTGAAGACTGGGCGGCACAGAGCGCTTGAGTCTGTTCCCGGCTCTGTTCAGTCAACTCTGTGGAGTATTTCAAAACACAGTTCAAAACTTTTCTGTGTAATCCGGCTTTCTGCTGACGTCCTTTGGTTTGTTATTCAATTCAGTTTTATTTACACAGCGCCAAATCACAACAACAGTCGCCTCAAGGTGCTTTATACTGTAAGGTCGACCCTACAATACTACATACAGAGAAAAACCCAACAATCATATGACCCCCTATGAGCAAGCACTTTGGCAACAGTGGGAAGGAAAAACTCCCTTTTAACAGGAAGAAACCTCCAGCAGAACCAGGCTCAGGGAGGGGCGGGGCTTTTTTCATGGTTCTGTATTGCTATTAATTGTTTTGGAGTGATTGTACAGTACTTTGTGACTTTGATGTCTAAATAAACTTCACTATACTTGAGTTCGTATTCTTTTTTCACAGTTTTCACTGGTATCGTGTTGTGTATTGCATCAGACAGTTCCTATGTTTTCTTTGTGTGGGCAGAAGGATGAGGAGCCAGATGTGGTGCTGGTGAAGGTGGAGGAGGTGGAGCCAATGACGAGACCTCGGAACCGGCCGTGCCTCAGCATACAGGAGGGTGAGCAGACCCGTTCACTGTGAACTGTAGATCAGTTTAGGAAGTGTTCTGACTCCGACTACAGCAGCCTGATGACATCAAACGTGTCCCCTCGAGGGCTACTGTTGCTGTCATTTGGTGCTATATAAATAAAATAGAACTGAGTCGTCAGTCATCCTATTGCATCATCTGATGTTTTGCCCTACATCAAGGATTCTCGCTCCAGAAAACCCTGTGAGAATGTTGAGTCCATTTAACCCTAGCTGGGTGAGAACTTGACTCTGAATCTGTCTGTGTCCAGGGTTGGTGGAGTCCAGTACAGACGACTGCAGAGGAGTGCTGTCCTTTGATGAAACCACACAGATGTCCACCAATCGGCTGTCCGACCTGCAGGACTCTGGGCGGGGCTTCTCAGAGGTCAGCTGTGGCCATTCTTCGCTGTGGACTAATAGGGGGGGCGGTTACAGTGAGAGCCTTCCAGGGCTGTCCTCACACTTCGCTCCACTCTCATACTTGCCTGGCACACTCACTGGAGGAGAGCCTGGCAGCTCTGGGAGGGGATCGGCTGCTGAGAACGCAACAGAGAGGGGATCAGCCGCTGAGAATTCTAGAAAGTTGCCCACTTATCCCTTTGAGCAGAAGCTTCCTGTTATTGATCTGTCAGATGAGTCCAGCCAAAGTCAGGTGTCAAGTCAGACGCAAGCAGGACACCTGTCAGTCCAGGGGTCTCAACAGTATCTGCACCCAGGTCCAAGTCAGGGCCCAAAAAATCCCACGAAGAGGGATTGTGTCTGTAGTTTCTGTGGGAAAAGGTTTCCTGCTCCAGCAAATTTGGAATCTCATATGAGAACCCATACTGGAGAAAAGCCATATGGCTGCACCATCTGTGGTAAAAAATTCTCCCAGTTGTGGAATTTGAAGATCCACAGGAACATCCACACAGGGGAGCGACCGTACCAGTGCTCGCTCTGCCCCGAAAAGTTTTCTGACCCCAGCAACCTGAAAAAACACCTAAAGAGACACCATCCACAAAACATGGCCATACAGTCAGGAACATCTTAGATGAAAGGGCTAACACACTGTTAATGAGTACTGTATTTTTCAGACCATTAGGCGCACTGGATTATATTATAATAATTATATACTCATTCTTCTTGCTTCTTCGACGTCCGTACCATTGATTCATTAATGCTGTATTCAATCACAGCTGCTCTATTCCCATGTTGTTGCAGTATATTAATGACTAACCTCGTATTGTGGATGGATTATCTCAGTTGTTCTCCTGGCTGAAGTTTGGTCCTTTTACAGCATCCTGCCATGCGACTGCATTTGTCTCTAACTATCAGGAACCCTCACATTAACTTTTATCGAGTGGAAAAAAGTTAACATTCATCCTCCAGCTTCACTGTTTATGCTATGCTAACATAGCTGTGTTGCTAGCAATCACGTAGCACATCATTATATACCAGCTAGCCCAACTTCAGTAACCCTACAAACATCACTGCTGTTTAGTTTTCTGTCCTCATTTATGTTGGACGTGATAGCAGAGCTGTACGTTTGAATTTGTTTCAGAAATCTCTCAGTCAGAACATGGTATGTCATGTTTAGGTGGAAGCTAGCGAGCTAACTTCCTGCTAACTTCTAGCTTCATTAAATTTTAATAAATCCTGTTTTCATGGATGCCAGGATGTTAAACTTAATTGTTGCACCTGGTAAAGCAACAAAGCTGATGATTTTATTACAGATGAAAGAATTTAGACAGTTTTTAACTCTCAGTGATGCTGCAGTGTTCGTTTGACTTTGGGACCTGAAGTGGACGGAGTTTAGGACCCAGATTACTCTGCGAGGCTCCTGACTACAGTAGCCGTAATGCTCCAAGCGGTGCGCCTTCGTAGCTTACCAACGTCGTACTAAAACACTTTTGACAGATTTTCCAGCGCCGTGTAGCACATAAAGTCGGATCAGGTCAGTAAGCACAACCAGAATTCATACATAAGGCGCACCAGATTATAAGTCGCGCTGTCGAGTTTTGAGAAAATTAAAGGATTTTAAGTGCGCCTTATAGTGCAGAAAATACGGTAGCCTTATTTTAAAAATCGTGTCCTGGTGTGATTAGTGGGGATAGGTTAATTGATTAATCTAAATTGCCCATAGGTGTGAATCTGTGCGTGAATGTGAGTGCGAATGGTTGTCTGTCTCTGTGTGTTGGCCCTGCGACAGACTGGCGACCTGTCCAGGGTGTACCCCGCCTCTCGCCCTATGACAGCTGGGATAGGCTCCAGCACACACCACGACCCTGGAAAGGAGAAGTGGAAGTGGATGGATGGATGGTGCCCTGAGGTTAAAATAGGCTTCAGGAAATGTAGCGTGTACCCTGGCTGTTAGTGGTGTAAATTGACTCGTTCTTAGGTAGTGATTCTCTATTCAAAGCACTTCTACTTTTTCTATGCTTAAGTGCTTTCTGTCAAACATTCACTCCAAGGGATGCATCAGAGAGCAAGTTGGGTTAGTCCTGTCCAAAGCACGTAGACTGGAGCAGCCTTCACATGATTGTGTCCTGCTCTACCTCCTGAGCTACAGACATCCTAAATAATATATTGCATTTAAGTGAGACACTCAGTAAGGGCATTTGTTGGGGTTTAGCATTGCTTTGCTTGGTTTGGCCTGTGGTCTCCAAAGTCAGACGTTTACCTTGAGTATATTAGCTTCACCTTTTGAAAACACAACACTTGTTTTGTTTCAGCTTTAGCATGCTAGCAGGTTATTAGGCCTCTAAAGATGCAGATCCAGTTTTTTATGTAACTCATGTTGTGTAAAGTCATGCTAAGTGTTGCTGTGTGTGCCCAAGGGCAGTTCCAGTCAAATCTATTCCATACTGTTGACAGGAAGTGAAAGCAGTAAGTGTTCATTCTCACAGCTCTAAAGCTCACCATGAGAACATTTGACTGAAAGTTTTTGATTCATTTTTTAACTGAAGCCTTTTGGTCATTAGAAAATGTGTGTGCTTTAGACCGGAGTGATAAGTGAGCCACTGTTCAACATTTACAATTTCAAAATAAAAGCAGAAATCTTTATTTTATGTATGTGTGTTTTATCCATGTAATAGATTGTTAGCCCATTCTGGTGTCATGAATACAAACTCTTAGGAAGCCCTTGTGAGTATTTCTTGAAGATTGGCACACATGTTTACTGGGACTGGTGGTCAGAGGTCAAGGTCACTGTGATCTGACAACACAGATTTTTGCAAGCACAAAAATTCATACACTAATTCTGTCAAATGTGTATCTTATGTTTAAAAGTAATAACTGAACTTTTCTGGCTGTTTGTCTGCATCATAATCCTATTTCACATTTGGTCTTATATTAAATTGTTGACCTTAATCTTTCTGCCACTTGGAGGTGACTGTTGTTGTCATTTGACACCATTTAAATAAAATAAAATTGAACCTCGTAAATTCATTTAGTCTTTACTTTTACAAAAGTCTGGACAAACATGGACACAAACTGCAGCCTTACTGGTTTCCAGTGGTGTGCAATAACCTGGCAGTTCTCCCGTTTCTACTGCTCTCTGCTTAGAAAACATTCAACTTTGAGCTATAACATTGCACATACCCATTAATTTATGTTAGATTACACGTAGTTTCATAGGTGTCGCGGTTGGTGGTTAACATGAAGAGGACCAGATGATGGAAAAAAACAACCACAACAGACTCGAGTCGTTTTCCAGAGCTCTGAATATATTTCTCTTACAGATACAAAGATTCAAAACCATCTTAACATGAACACCCCAACTCTGCTCCCCACCACACACACACACACACACTCCAGCTACAAATAACATATACAGTGAAATGCTGCACTCATGTTAACACACCACACATACATCTGACTGAAGGAACAATGGGCTGGGAGGTCAGTTCCTTCATTAATATGCAAATTGTCATGACCATTGATCAACAACCACTGATCAATAACCATGAGTACCATCCACAGAGAGTTGGGGAATGGCTGCAATCACAGCATTGTAAGATGGTGACAGATGTACCCAATTAGGCCCCCTCCTCAATTCAGAGATGGTCTTTCCCTTATCATGGTGTAAATGGCCTTGTACTGATGTATAGCAACTTGAAATACTCCTAAAAATGGCACTACAGCATGTAAAAATATAAAGATAAGCTCTGGCTCTTGGTTCTATGATGGCGCTTAAAGGGTTAACTCATTGGTGTGTGTTATCTGGCTTCATGGACAGATAGAGCTGGGTGTCATCTGCATAGCAGTGTAAAATGTATGCTATGTCTTCTAATGATGCTGCCTAAGGGAAGCATGTATAATGTAAACAGAATTGGTCCTAGCACTGAACCCTGTGGAACTCCATAATTAACCTCAGTGTGTGAAGAGGACTCTCCATTTACATGCACAAACTGGAGTCTATTAGATAGATATGATACAAACCACTGCAGCACAGTACCTGTAATACCTACAGCATGTTCTAATCGCTCTAATAGGATATTATGGTCGACAGTATCGAACGCTGCACTGAGGTCTAGCAGGACAAGCACAGAGATGAGTCCACTGTCAGAGGCCATAAGAAGATCATTTGTAACCTTCACTAAAGGTGTTTCTGTGCTGTGATGAGCTCTGAAACCTGACTGAAACTCTTCAAATAAACCTCTGCAGATGATCTGTTAGCTGTTTGACAACTACTCTTTCAAGGATGTTTGATATAAAGGAAGGTTAAAGATTGGCCTATAACTAGCTAAGACTGCTGGGTCTAGAGATGCTTTTTGAGTAAAGGTTTAACTACAGCTAGCTTGAAGGCCTGTGGTACATAGCCGATTATTAGAGATAGGTTGATCATATTTAAGATCGAAGAATTAATTAATGGCAGGACTTCTTTGAGCAGTTTTGTAGGAATGGGGTCTAAAAGACACGTTGATGGTTTGGAGGAAGTAATTATTGAAGTTAACTCAGAAAGATCAATTGGAGAAAAAGAGTCTAATATTACATCTGTGGGATGATTATTGGTCATTTTTTCTCTAATGATTAAAATTTAATTCAATTCAATTTTATTTATATAGTGGCAAATGACAACAACAGTCGCCTCAAGGCGCTTCATATTGTAAGGTAGACCCTACAGTAACACATACAGAGAAAAACCCAACAAGAAGAAGAAGAAGAAGAAACCTCCGGCAGAACCAGGCTCAGGGAGGGGCGGGGCCATCTGCTGCCACCGTTTGGGGTGAGAGAAGGAAGACGGGATAAAGACATGCTGTGGAAGAGAGACAGAGATTAATAACAGATATGATTCAATGCAGAGAGGTCTGTTAATACATAGTGAGTGAGAAAGGTGACTGGAAAGGAAAAACTCAATGCATCATGGGAATCCCCGGTAGCCTACGTCTATTGCAGCATAACTAAGGGAGGATTCAGGGTCACCTGGTCCAGCCCTAACTATATGCTTTAGCAAAAAGGAAAGTTTGAAGCCTAATCTTGAAAGTAGAGATAGTGTCTGTCTCCTGAATCCAAACTGGAAGCTGGTTCCACAGAAGAGGGGCCTGAAAACTGAAGGCTCTGCCTCCCATTCTACTTTTAAATACTCTAGGAAGAAGTTCTTGTGGACTTCTTCCTAGAGTATTTATTTGTGAAGTTCATGAAGTCATTACTAGTTAACGTTAAAGGGATGGTTGGCTCAACAGAGCTCTGACTGTTTGTCAGCCTGGCTACAGAGCTGAAGAGAAACCTGGGGTTGTTCTTATTTTCTTCAATCAGTGATGAATAGTAAGATGTTCTGGCTTTGCGGAGGGCTTTCTTATAAATCTCTGTTGGAGTAGCTTTCAGATAGCTGCTCTGCTCTATGTTGGTACAGGGCATTGAAGATGATAACAGTGGGTGGATTATATTCTTAAACTTAGTTACAGCGCTTTCAGAAAGACATCTACTGTGATGAAGTCTACTCTCCACCGCTGTGTAATCAATTATTGTAAATGTATATGTTATCAGGAAATGATCAGACAGCAGAGGGTTTTCAGGAAACACTGTTAAATGTTCAGTTTCTATGCCATATGTTAAAACAAGATCTAGAGTGTGATTAAAGTGGTGGGTGGGTTCTTTTACAGTTTGACAGAAGCCAATTGAGTCTAATAAATATTTTCACTCAGACAGTGAGAAATATTATAATTCTGATCATTTATCAGTACATGTTCATATTTTTGTATCTATGTATAAAAACAAAGCTGACGCTGTGAGACTTCAGAGGTGTGAACATCACAGCATATGTCTTTGTGTCAAAGTAACTGAGGATAAAACATGAAGGAGATTTTCCTGGCCTGGCTTTTATAGCAGATAACCTTAAAAATATTCTGCAGTAGATCAAAAACTAAAGAAAACCATCAATCAACATATAAACACAGTGTTGGTCAAGTTACTTGAAAAAAGTAATCAGTAACTAATTACAGATTACTTCCCCCAAAAAGTTATCCCATTACTTTACTGATTACTTATTTTCAAAAGTAATTAATTACTTAGTTACTTAGTTACTTTTTAAAAACACGATTTACAACCTGAATAGGTGATAAAGCGATAGATCTTTCAGCACAATTCTACTTTTTCTACATAATCCATCATACAAAATGTAATCAAATGGAAAAGTCTCTTTTTAAAACTTGTTTATCAGTTTTAATCTTTTAACTTTATGCATCAAGCAAAAATTTAATTATCTGCAACATTCTCTGACTTGAATAAATTAGTTTAACATTTAAACCTATTTTCTGCACATTCCAGCACATAAGATAAAATATTTTTTTGTGTTTACACTCAGTCTTTCAAATAGATGCAAGTAAAACACAGCAGAAAATAAATAAAGTCATAGACTAGCGGTCCTGTTGCTCTATTTTCACCTGTAAAGCAGGAGTGGGGCAGGCGGAGGTTTACCCTGGTGCAGGTGTGCCGCGGTCAGTGGAAGAATCCGTGAGTTTCTCTGTGAGTTTCCCATTACGTCATAGCTACTCGGTGCTTGTTGGAAGTTTAGGGGTTTTTTGCTGTAAAAAGAAGTTTTCTTCCCACGCACAGCGGACACTAATGTTTTTGTCACTTTTTATGGAATCAAACTCAAAGTAAGGTCAGTACTTCCACGCTTTAAACGCTGCACGCTCATACTCTCTCCCACAATCAATATGTGATCCATTGTTGATCTGCACACAGCTGTTGTCACGAACGGCGCACTCGCTTACGTCACTGTCATGAGACATTCTCGCAAAAAATCACGGTTTTAGTAACGCAGTAATGCAGCGTTCCTACGGGAAAGTAGCGGTAATCTAATTACCGTTTTTGCAATAGTAATCCCTTACTTTACTCGTTACTTGAAAAAAGTAATCGGATTACAGTAACGCGTTACTGCCCATCTCTGTATAAACATCACCTGATGCTGCTGAAGTGAAGCAGAGCAAAGTTATAGAGGTTTGATTACAGACACAGCTGAGTGTAAAGTTTCTATTTCTTCGATCTTAAACTGCAGAAATGAGGTTTTGTTGTCAGATGTCATTGTTGAGAAAAAAACAGGTGCCAACAGCACTGAATAGAACTGTAGACTGATGCCTAATAAGCAGAGAGTAATGCAGAAAACAGATTTGAGGCGGGAAACTGTTCTTGAAGTACAGAGAGAGCTGTGCAGGAAGTGTGATTTTATCGTGGTGGAAGCAAAACAGCAAAGGTCAGAGATGACGATGCTTATCAAACATGAAGTGTAGTTTGGATCTCCTTTTGCTGCTGGTTCAGTCAGTTTTAGTCGGAGTTACTCAACCTGCAGCATCAGAATCTGTGAAATTTTCAGCCCTGACAGCTTGTCCGTGTACGTGCTGCCGGGTGAACGATCCACGGTGAATGAAATCCATGTACCTGCTCTCATTTCCTGTTTTAGCTGTTCGGCGGTTGTTCAAATAGTTTTGTGAGCTTTAAGCTGAGATTCTGGCATTTCTGGAAAAATACATTTATATTTAAAAATCGGTTCAGGATTTATTGAATTGATGTCGCTTTATTCAAACTAAAATCGATTTTTTAACCCGCCCCTACTAATAACAGATTAAATGCCATGTTGAGGCTGTCATTTTTAGCATCTACATGGATGTTAAAATCACCCACAATAATTATTTTATCTGAGCTGAGCACTAAATCAGATAAAAACTTTGAAAAATCAGACAGAAACTCTGTGAGGCCCAGGTTGTCACGTCTGAAGGTGAAGCAGACGGCGTGGAGTGAGACCCAAAAACATGATGGAGGCAGAGTGAGGTGATGAACGAAACACAAGCCGTTATTTGGCTGAGCAAAAGTACAAACAAAAGCAAAGAGAGAGAAACTAACAAACACCTAAACTGGGGTAAGCTAAACATTACACACTACCTGAAACATCGAACTAGAACCTGGGATTCTGAGATCTGATTTTCACCCAGGTGTCATCCACATACCTGAACCAAGGACTCGGTGGTGTTCCAGTAACATCTGATGGGAAAACACTGTGAGTCAGGCCTTCATAGTGGAAGTGCTTCAAGGAAACCAGTACTGATGGTGAGAAATGGAGAGAACAACGTACTGGACAAGTTGAAATCGATAATTATGATGACTCCAAATGTGATGTTTGATTGAAGCCGTCATGTCTTTGTGAGGCAGAAATAAGGTGGACACACAAAATCTCCCCTGTTCTAAGCATGGAGCAGAGGCTGTAATGGTTCTTGGGGATTGGCACTGTTGCCCAGTTAATTATAGTCCCAGTAACCACCCTCTGCAAACACATCGCTGATGTCTTCACAGCATCATCAGCCTCACCCTATCCCAGCATCGCCCTGCATCTCCTCCTTCACTACATCCATGAACCTCCTCTGAGGTCTTCCTCTTTCCCGCTCCATCTTCATCATCCTATGTCCAGTACATCCACCCTCCCTGCTCTGCACATGTGCGAACCATCCCAGCCTCTAGTCCTGTCCATCCCGCTCACTCGCAGTGAACACCTGAGCATCTTCAGCTCTGCGTCCTGTCTTTGTGTCAGTGCCACCGTCTCCACATCATACATCACAGCAGCTCTCACTGCCATCTTCTAAAACCTTCCCGTTCACTCTCGCAGCTATCCTTCTGACACTCTTCTCCACCCACTCCACCCTGCCTGCAGCTCTCTCTGGATGGTCCCAGGTATTTAAACTCATCCTCCTTCACTGTCTCTGCTCCTTACATGTTCACCTTTCCTCTGGTCTCATTCACACACGTTTCTGCTGACTTTCATTCCTCTACTCTCCAGGCTCTCCTCCACCCGCTCCCTCATCTGCAAACATCACAGTCCACAGAGACTCCTGCCTGACCTCATCAGCCTGTCCATCAGCGCTGCAGGTCCCTGATGTAATCCCACCCCCAGCTCAAGCCCACCTGTAGCTCCTCCCACACACAGTACCACAGTTCAGGCCGTCTCTCCCTTTATACTCATAGACCTCACACCTCCACACTCCTGCTGTTCCCTCTGACTTGCTGCCTGTCTTCACACTTTCATCTCTGTCTTCATGTTTGATGTGGTGAAGGTTTTAAGCTGGATGACCTTCCTGACACAACCCTTCTCACTTGTTCAGGCTTCGGTGTGCCTCCACCCACACGTATCAATGATTTACACTGTAAACCAGTAAAGGAAATCTAAAAACTGTGGTTTTTATAATCAACCATATCTTGACTTGTTTGAGTTTGGACACAGACAGAAATATCACCCTCACCATAAACCTTCAGCCCCTGTTCTGTGTGCTGTAGTTGGTTCAGATGGTTTACAGTGACCTACAGTCAAACAAACAGAACTGCATGCAAACATACTAGTTTACTCAAAACACTGCAATACTCTGAACTCCAAAAGTAAATGGATTTTGCAGTTTTCAGTCATCTTTGGTCCTGTCCTGTACAGGACAGCTTTCATCTGTGTTTGTTATGCGACTGAACTCTGACCTGTGAATCATTCAGGCATGAACCAGGGTTACATCTACACACAGTAGTCAACCAATTGTAAAGGGAGGCTGTCACTAAAACCAAACAAATGTCAAAGATGACAGTTTCACAGGCGTAATATATTTTTGTTGTGTCAAGAAAATTCTCAAAGATCTTTTAGCCAGTAATTTTGCAAAGTGTGGATGACGAGAGAGGAAGTTCCAAACCTAAAAAACTGCAGCAGATCAACAGTATCTGAAAGCCATGTCAGTAAGACATGGGACCTGAGAGATGCATCTGGACCTGCACCTGACCAATGACTGGTCACTAAAGCCTCACCAGAAAAGGTTTCAGTGGCTGTAAAGAAGCCAGAGAAAAGGATCAAGTGTGAACATTAAACAGGAACTGGACTGAAAATCAGTCAAACAGGTCTGATGAAGTGATGACTTTTACATGCTACTTAAACCTCTAAGATCAAATGGATGTCACTATGGAGCAGGTCAGGACAGAGGTACAACAGTGAGGGTCTACAGCCATCTGTAAAACACGGTAGGGCTTCTGGCGTGGTATGGCTACATTTCAACCACTGGTGTTGGGATCTTGTCAAATTGGTGTAATTATAAAGACAGAAAAGTACCATAAAATTCAGACCAACCATTCAGTTGCATCTGAAGAGCATCTGATGGACAGTAGCTTCATTTTTCAGCATGGCAGTGATCCCAAATATGTGAAGTAAAAGCATATCTGGATAGAAAAACACAACGCTGTCAGTCGTGGATGGACCTCCCCATAGCCCAGACCTCAACATCACTGAAGCAGTTTGGGATAGTCTTTTACAGAACAAAAGGCAGAAACATCCAAAGAAGAGCTGTGGATGTCCTTCAAGAAGCCTGGAGAACTTTTCCTAAAGACTACTTATAGAAATGACAGAAAAAGAGGAACATAAATGTGCTCATACCAAATATTGTACTAAATACTTCAGCATCATCAGACTTGTACAAACTGTGCTAAACTGGGAAAATCGAAATAGGTGCAGCAATTTTCAATAAATTTAGCACTGTTAAAGTGCTGAACTAGTGCCATGTTATCGTAAACACAAGTTAAATTGAATTGCAGTATTTTCTAGATATTTCCCACCAGGACCTGTAATGGAAAGTTTCCAGGACTCATTGTAATCAAATGGCAAAACCCCCTGACTCCTTTTAAAAGGAAGAAGCAGCTACATTTTCCTGAAGTCTATGTCTGAGAATCTCCCTTTGTCTGAGGAAGAAACGTCTACCAGGTCCTTGGTTCCAACCTGGACCAGGGCAGGGCTCCCTATGCTCTAGGTGCTCCAACATCTCCCCCATCAGAAACATTCCAGCTTAATCCTCTGGTCAGTGTACCATTGACCACAGAGCTGGCTGATAGCTGGACTCCGCTGTCACTGCGTTATGGTTTATGATATAGATATAGAAATGAATTTTCCTGTAGGGATCTTCATGACCTCATCTTTTTTTCTCTAACCAAAGCAGTCCAGTGTAACACTGAGTGAAAAATAAAAGTGTTGTGCTGTCTGTGGCATCGTCATCATACACAGACGGCACTTTCGCTCTAATTAGAGGACACGCGACTCAGCCTATACCTTCTGACTACTAAAGTAACCACACTGTGACTGTTGTGGCAGCTCTTCTGTTAGTGGAGCACGTACACAGATTAGTTTATGGCTTCTGTTACATTTTCTGTTACATTTGTACAGAAACTATAATTCTCTGTACATTCTCTTAAGAAAAGGATGAGCAAACTTCTGTTAGTTTCAAACTTTCAACCCAGTCCTGTAAGCCTGTGTCATGAAGCTTGGTCCTTCTTCTGCTCTCCTTCCAGGTTGCAGTACCTCAAAGGACCCCTGCAGAATCAGAAGATATCAGCAGCATTGTGGCGGCCCAGCTGAGGGTACCAGACACCAACATGCCAGCCAACCCAACCAAGCAGCAGCGATACAGCAACAACCCCACGAGCTGTGACTACTCTCTCTTTGAACTGGAAACCTTCTTCACCCGCTGGGCCCCTGATAGTGACCCTGTGTCAGCTCCTGGTGGCTCTTCATGTGCATTTGTTCCTAACAAGTCAACTGAACGTGACCAGGATAGAGTTGTTATCATAGACACTCGTCGACAGCCTTGGCAAGTGCTCGATCCACCACAGACCTCGACGTCCTCGGCGTTGAAGCCGAGCGGAGGGCAGAGTTTCTCCTCTGCAGGCCGGCTGTCTGCATCACAGGGTAACACTTTGTCTGCTTTCCTCAGTACGGCCTCTTAATGCTGTTGTTTTGCCCTGCCTGTGTACACCTTCAGATATTTGGATCACTTTATTGATGTTCCATCAACGTACTTAAAACCAGTAGTGTGTGCTGTCAAAGCTTCCACTGGTGCCACGTCGGAGTGGTCATCAAAGTGATAGCAGACAGGTCGACAGCAGACGGGTGATTGTGTGCTGGACTCATTCTTGAGCCACACAACTCCACTCACATTTAACTAATAATAATCTGTATGAACAGTTCCAGTCCCACAGCACTGAAAGAGCACTTATAAAATTAACCAATGATCTTCTTATGGCAGCTGACTCTGGTCTACTTTCCATTCTTATTCTCCTCGATCTGAGCGCTGCTTTCGACACTATTTCTCACTCTATACTTCTCAGTAGGTTAGCCTCCATCGGTCTCTCCCATACTCCACTAGCCTGGTTTAAATCATACCTGTCTGATCACACTCAGTTCATTCAACTCAAATCCTTCAGTTCTCAGCCCTTTCCTCTGACCACTGGCGTACCCCAGGGATCTGTCCTGGGCCCCTTCTTTTCATTATCTACCTTCTTCCACTTGGACATAAATATAATATCCAGTTTCACTGTTATGCCGATGACACCCAGCTGTATCTGTCCACTAAACCTGATGCTGCTCTTCCCCCATCCTCCCTCACCCTCTGCTTAGCTGAACTAAATTCATGGTTCTCTTCTTATTTTCTTAAACTCAACAGTAACAAATCCGAGCTCCTCTTGGTCGGCTCTAAATCTACATTATCCAGAACCAACAGTTTCTCTGTTACTATCAATAACTCGCTGGTCTTCGTTTCTTCCTCTGTGAAAAGCTTGGGTCTCATCCTCGACAGTACTTTTCGATTCACACATTAATAATGTCACTTGGTCTGCATATTTTCAATTGCGCAACATTATTTGTCTCCGTCCTTTTCTCACCCCACATGCCGCTGCCATTCTTGTCCACAGCCTTGTTACTTCCAGGATCGATTACTGTAATTCACTTCTTTATGGTCTTACTCAGAAATCCATCCACAAGCTTCAACGCGTCCAGAACTCTGCTGCCCGTATCATCACCAGGACCTCTTCTGTCCACCACATCACTCCTGTCCTGCAGCAGCTTTACTGACTCCTGGTCAAATATCGTATCAATTTCAAAATACTCTTGTACACATTTAAGACTATTCATCATCTCTCCTCATCTGGTTCAGATCACCGCCCCATCTCGGTGTCTCAGATCTTCTTCTTCTCTTTCTCTCTCCGTCCCCTCCCCCTGTTTTGCCACCATGGGGAGCAGGGCTTTCAGCTGCTCCACTCTGGAATTCCTGACCTCCTGATTTAAGAAATATCACCTCCTTCTCTCTCTTTAGGTCCCAACTCAAAACTCGTTCAAAACAGCTTATCCCACATAACCTCTCCACTCTGCTATTTTAAATTTGTTTTATGTCTTATGCTTTTATGATTGTGTAAACTGCTGGCTTTTATGTTGCTTTTGTTATTCTGCTGTGTGCAGTGTCCTTGAGTGTTCTGAAAGGCGCTTTCAAATAAAATGTATTATTATTATTGTTAGTTAAGCTTTCCTTTACACACTGAGGTCATTGTGGCAGCTGTTATTGCTGAAGCCTGACAAAAAGATACTGGTGATGAAAAGTCTCTATTGTACTATTGCATGCTTTAGGGTCTGAAGATGCTAATGTCACAGTCTGTGGACCAGCAGAGTGAGTGCAGTGAGTAGGACGCTGAGTTTAACAAATCAGAGTCAGAAAGGGTTTTATTGCCAAATGTTGAGCAGGTTTACAACATTAGGAAAATTGCTGCGGTACTTAGTGCAAACATACTGTCAGATAACGCTTAAATAAACAGTAGATAGATATATACATGAGTGCAGGTGGTGATCAGTGCCAAACATGGAATGATGCAGTGAACACAGCGTAGGGTCATGTGTTAGGGATGGGAACAGTCATACGGTTATTGTTCGTGTGTCCGACAGCAGAGGGGAAGAAACTGTTCTTATGGCGAGAGGTTCTGGTGCGAATGGACCGGAGCCTCCTGCCTGAGGGGAGCAGGTCAAACAGACTGTGTCCAGGGTGAGAAGGGTCAGCTGAGATCCGAGCTGCACGCCCCAGTGTCCTGGAGGTGTACAGGTCCTGCAGAGATGGGAGTCTGCAGCCAATCACCTTCTCAGCAGAGCGCACAACACGCTGCAGTCTCTGTTTGTCCCTGATAGTGGCTCCAGCGTACCACACGGTGATGGAGGAGGAGAGGATGGACAGCCGTTTAGTCGCAACATGAAGTTCAAACTGAGGGATCAACAACCTTTGTGTGCGTGCGCACACTTGTTTTAGCTGCTCTCGTTGTTGATTTGCGTGTTTCTGCCGTATGAATTTGTTGTTTTTCCTTGTATGTTTTTACTGGTGCAGCCATTGGTGCTTTTATTTTTAATATATATTTATATTTACTTGTATTACACAGAAATACCATTAAGAGAAATGAGTAAATACACGAACAAGACGAGCCTATAGAGAATTAATAGGGCTCATCTTGGAAAAGCAACCATCACATATAACTGCCTGGCTCCGAGTTTAGTGACAGCTGATTCCTTGTTTTCTCTGGTTCCTCAGGGACTTCTGCACCCACGTCTTTGAGAATGCAGGATCCAGGATCTTCCCAGCCTTCCTGGAGGAGAACACCAGCACAGGCTCAAGTGCAGCAGCTTCAAAATGGCAACACTTACTCTCAACAGGAAAGCACCGTCCCTCCCTCACGAATCACACCGTCCTCCAGCACAGGTGCTGTTAGTAAAACAGGTAAAACCAAGACAGCTGGGGCTCCACAGTCCTCTCTATCAGTCCGGGGAGCTGTAGCACCGCTGGCCAGCACTGAGGTGGCCATCGCCCCACAGCATCGGACAACTCTCCTCACTAACCTTAATAAAAATCGTGCCGCATGCACTTTGCCCACAGAGCGCCGCAGGAAGAGTTACGTATGTGGAGCCTGCGGAAAAGCTTTCTCTGGCCTGTCCAATCTAGAGGTCCACAAGAGAGTGCACACAGGCGAGAAGCCTTTCCGCTGTGACACTTGTGGGAAGCACTTCTCTGAGGCTGGAAACCTGAAAAAGCACCAAAGGGTTCACACGGGGGAGAAACCCTTCAGCTGCAACCAGTGTGGGAAGAGGTTTGCTTGGATCTGCAACTTGAGGACACACCAGCAGTCTGCCACAGGCTGCGGAGCACAAGCCGGGGCAGGGCTGTAACTGCTGATGCTGTTATTATTGATTCAAAGGGTAGTATAACTCGGCCCAGTGACAGTTTTTTGTGTCCCTGGTTATAGTCGACCCAGTTTAGCTCTTTCTCTGTGTTCCTGTGGGCGTTTTGAAACTTTTCCTTTGTCTCCTGGGTCCTCGGAGAGCCTCTCCATGGATGCATGGCACAACCTAAAGAGAGTGCCAGCTCTCCAGGACGTATACACTTAAAGAAAAGAAGAGAAACTGGAAGAGCTTCACTGAACAGAGGGGGTGGCTCACGACAACAGCTATCAGTGGCCTAAAATGCAGGGATTTCAACCCCCAGTCATACCCTGGCTCCTGTGACTGTAATAATGCCTTGGCTCATGTCCATTAATGACCCATATGATTACAGTAAAAGGCTCTCAGGACCACCGCTGAGGTGACAACCTACATCTTTAACATCATCTTTACCAACCAAAGATTTCCACTTTCCAAGCCTGCGGAGACATTTTGCTAAATATTGTATTTTTGAGCCTGTATATAAACATGTGACCCAGTGAGTGTTACAGGAAATCCAAACTAAACTCAAACTCTCGTTTTTCACTCACTAAAGGTGTATGCTGGACAATTATTTCACCTCAAAAAAGAAAAGTACGCAGAGTCGATTACATGACATTCATCACCATGATGAGTAGTTGGAAACGTTTGACCACGATGTGTATTTGACCACAGTGGGAACACAATCAGACTGAATTAAAGAGCATATAAAGTCTCCTGTGACCAACCTCATCAGATCTAATGTGGTGCTTTCAGCTCTTTTCATTCTTTCCTGTGTGATAGTTGCCCTCTCTCTCTCTCTCTCTCTTATTCTGTGGTGAAATCTTCCACTTTCACAGAGTTAATAAATAAATTGGATGTGTAGGCAGAATTCATCTAGAGGGGTGCCGCGTTAAACTCTTCATCCACGGAAGCCTGAAGTCTGTGCTGTAAAGAAGAACACAAAACAATATTTATCAGTGCTAGGACCAATTCTGTTTACATTATACATGCTTCCCTTAGGCAGCATCATTAGAAGACATAGCATACATTTACACTGCTATGCAGATGACACCCAGCTCTATCTGTCCATGAAGCCAGATAACACACACCAATGAGTTAAACTGCAGGAATGTCTTAAAGACATAAAGACCTGGATGGCCGCTAACTTTCTGCTTCTTAATTCAGATCAAACTGAGGTTATTGTACTCGGCCCTGAAAAGCTTAGAAATGTGGTATCTAACCAGATTCTTACTCTGGATGGCATTACCTTGGCCTCCAGTAACGCTGTGAGGAACCTTGGAGTCATTTTTGACCAGGACATGTCCTTCAACGCACATATTAAACACATATGTAAGACTGCTTTCTTCCATTTGTGCAACATCTCTAAAGTTAGAAATATCCTGTCTCAGAGTGACGCTGAGAAACTAGTTCATGCATTTATTACTTCCAGGCTGGACGACTGTAATTCATTATTATCAGGATGTCCTAAAAACTCCCTGAAAAGCCTTCAGCTAATCCAAAATGCTGCAGCAAGAGTCCTGACAGGGACTAGAAAGAGAGAGCAGATTTCTCCTGTTTTGGCTTCCTGTTAAATCCAGAATTCAAAATCCTGCTCCTCACATACAAGGTCTTAAATAATCAGGCCCCATCTTATCTTAATGACCTTGTAGTACCATATCACCCTATTAGAGCACTTCGCTCTCGCTCTGCAGGCCTACTTGCTGTTCCTAGAGTATTTAAAAGTAGAATGGGAGGCAGAGCCTTCAGTTTTCAGGCCCCTCTTCTGTGGAACCAGCTTCCAGTTTGGATTCGGAGACAGACACTATCTCTACTTTCAAGATTAGGCTTCAAACTTTCCTTTTTGCTAAAGCATATAGTTAGGGCTGGACCAGGTGACCCTGAATCCTCCCTTAGTTATGCTGCAATAGACGTAGGCTGCCGGGGGATTCCCATGATGCATTGAGTTTTTCCTTTCCAGTCACCTTTCTCACTCACTATGTATTAACAGACCTCTCTGCATTGAATCATATCTGTTATTAACCTCTGTCTCTCTTCCACAGCACGTCTTTATCCTGTCTTCCTTCTCTCACCCCAACCAGTCACAGCAGATGGCCCCGCCCCTCCCTGAGCCTGGTTCTGTTGGAGGTTTCTTCCTGATAAAATGGAGTTTTTCCTTCCCACTGTCGCCAAAGTGCTGCTCATAGGGGGTCATATGATTGTTGGGTTTTCTCTGTATCTATGAAGCGCCTTGAGGCGACTTTTGTTGTGATTTGGCGCTATATAAATAAAATTGAATTGAATCCTAACTCATCCGCATATTGAAGTTCCACAGTAACTGCATTATTTGTTTTTTGTCTTAGTGTATTGCATTGCTAGATATTTGTTAAAGACAATACTATATACTGTACGATCCAGGCATGAGTCTCATTAACTGTTGTCTTGAGAGATCCTTCCACGCTGTGGATCACCGACACTACCTCACTGATTTTGGTGATTTGTGGTGTTGCAGAGCTGTGTCACTGCACTTGTGCTCATTATGGACCAATTTCTAGGTTTTGACTAAAAATCTTAAACACTGAAAATCTGTCAGTTCACTTTAAAACTATCTTGCCTGCAGGCGTCTCATGCTACAAACACATATTTCAAACATATTAACTGCAAAAGTAATTGTATCCATGTGTCACGGTGAGGACTCAAAGATAAGACTCTGAGCTAAAGTCAGTTAAATAAGTTTTATCGGCGAAAGAACTTCAACGCTGACGGGATCACAGGAGCTCTGAGAGGGAGAGAGGGAGTGACTTGTGATGGCGGGTGAGTGTGTGTGTGTGTGTGTGTGGGGGGGGCAGACTGCTGGCAGGTGGAGGAGGTAGTGAGTGGACAGGTGGGAACTGAAGCAGTTCAAAGAGTGCCGGTAAGTGTTCTTCCAATCTTCCAAACAGGAAAGGTCCAAAGTGGCCTCCAGGTGGGATAACTGCTGGGACGCCAACAATGTTCCCTCTAATGTTTCATGTGTCTGAACACAAACTCCCTGAGCGTCCCTTGGATCACTGTGAGCAACAGCAGACGTGCGCACTGTGGTCACGCCAGCATCCAATCCATCCAAATTACATGTTTATTAAAATAATCAAATTACAGGATTTATGTTAGACGACTCTTAATTACCTGCTTTTGCCCACTTACAATGAAAATTAAAAAAATCTTGTTCATGACCTGTGCAGCATGTTAACACTATTGGAAGGAAAAATAACTTCAACTCCAATTTTGAAAACACAACTTTCTTTTCTTTTATATATATATAAAGCTCTAACTGTATTATGAGTCTGTGGTCTGGGAGAGAGTCTGTAACTCTGTCTGCAAGTACAGTAAATAATGACCAGTGTTGGGCAATTAATTATATACTTACTTCTTCAAAAAAGTAACTGAGTTATGCAAACAGCAAAGTTTTTTGCAGCTGTTTACCTAAAAATGCAGCCAAGGCGTTTTTAAATAAGCATTTCAAACTATTTACAGAACAATCAGCTGTTCTGCATCAGAGAGACCGTGCTAGCAGTGCAAAATTGTGCACGCGCGCAGCTTAGAGGGAACGTTGCACGTCAACACCGACATTTTCTTTTTTTTTTTTTTGTGTCCCGTTTGGATCTTTAGCCGTCAGAATTGTTGTCTTAAGGCCAAGAAAGATGCCAAGCGGATTTATTTTACCAAGTGGATCATCAGGGCCTTGCCATATTGGTCCATTTGATTGACCTTTATTATAATTATGTATTTATTTTATTTTATTTTTCAGTTCCTACAGACATGACTGGGGGATAGGACAGGGAGAAAGAATGAAAGAAAGAGAGGGAGAGAGAGAAAGAAAACCAAAGGGGAGAAGAGACGGTGAGAAGGGGGGGAAGAGAGAAAAAAACAAACAAAAAAAACCAAAAAACAAACAAAAAAAACAAAACAAAACTCCTGGGTCACCCGTATGGAGAAAAAAAACAGAAGAGAAAGCAAACAACAAAGAGCAACATAATAAAAAAAACGGCACCATCACAATAAACTAGCTAGCAGTAGATATCAGTAGATACTAAATATTAAACGATATTGTGCAGCACGCAAGATAGACAGCGCACAGTGTGCTTTGAGGCAGCAGCCAAGAAAGCTGTAGTCTGTGTCTGTGAACACCCGTGACTGTGTACACCTGTGTGGATCAGCATGCTTGCATTCCAAAGGTTTCTCCATGTAACGATCTGCTAGGGAGTGTGGGGAGCCACAGCGCTGTCCTCCAGGGCATGAAGCAGGTATGGAGGAGATCAAAACTCCAGACATCCAGAGGCCCCCAGAACACAAGAGACCAAGGAAGACCAACAGAGGGGCAGCCGCGCCACTGTCCCAGAAAAGCTGAGGAGTCCCAGATGAGGGTCACTCAGCAGCCGCGGAGCAGAAGCCAGGGGAAGTTGCAGTGACGCGCCCGTGAGCTCCGCCGGCAGCCAGCCGTGCCTGAGTGACCGAGCCCCAGGCCGAGAGGCCGGGGGCACCCACCTCCGAAGTGGCCCAAGCGAGCCCCAGGCTCCAGGCCCTGGGGGTGGGCGTCCGGTGTACCCGGACGCCCACCCCCAGACACAAAGAACCACCAACGCACCGACACCTGAGGGAGTCCGCCACTGGCAGGGGAAGTGGTGGTGGGTGGAGATAGGCCTCCAAACCTTGGAGGGCCTGAGATGTCCCCAGAGAGGTGGCGTCTGATACCCAACCTGACATATAGACACAGACATACAGGCACACACAGACACAAACATCCATTCCCACCCTCATGCTCTCATATGCACTCACTCCACACTCAACCAACGTGGAGACAGACATAGAGAGATGCTGTACACACGATCACACTCCCCAAGCGTACTCTACAAACCGGGTCTAGGTACCCTTGCCCCTGGAGGGGGGAACTGCACCCAGACCCAGGTGGTGTTACCCTTTTCCCTGCGGTGGGGAGAGGCAGACCGCCCCGACTCCGCAGCAGCAGGGAGGCCCCACACCCCAGACCGCAGTCGGACGGCCAACTCCTCCTAGCCCCCCCGCTCCAGCAGGCAGCTGGAGATGGGGAGGGAAGGAAGCGAGGGGCAGGTGACCCCTCCCTGGGGCCAGCTCCCCCGCTGACCCCAGTAGGCACTCCCATACTCCGCGACCCGCCAGGGAAAGGGGGCGCAGGCCCATCCAGACCGGGGCCCAGCACAGCAGCGCCCCCCGGCCCCACAGAGCCCGGGACAGTCCACCCAACCCCACCACAGAGAAAACTGCACCCACCCCACCATCCACTCATCTTCCAGACTACATGAGACAACAGACGCCCAGGCTGAGATCTTCCTCCACCTCTCCTGTATCTCCCCCTCCTGCAGAGAGTTCCTGGGGAGAGGAAAGCTCCTGCTAGGTGTGACAATCTCCCCCACCAGTTGAAGAGCCCCCAGGTGGCTCGACGCACCGGCGGCACCCTGCGCCAGGGATGGGCCCCCATGCACCCACCCGCCCACAACCCCAGCAACACACAAACCAGGACCCAAGGCCCCGAGGCCCGGCCAGGGCCCCAGCCCAGAGACGGAGCGCCCCCAGAACCTCATGCCCATCCCGGACCCACCCAGGGGCAGACAGGCTACCAGGTCAGTAACCCACGTCCGTCAGCACAGACCCTCCCCTAGCCCCGCTGCACGCAGCCACGAGGAAACAGTCACCTGAGAGCCAACAGAGCCCCCACCCGGACATGACCGCTACCCCGGGTTTAGCCCCCCAAGGAAGACGCCTCCGGGGAACCCCCCCGACGCCCTAAGCCTGTCCCTACCCCCACACCAATCACAACAGTGAAGGCGGGACCAAACTATGACCCCCCACCCCCACTAGGTGATGGAGCT